TGATAAAGGCCTTTTTTATGAATGTATGGGAGAATATTCAAATGCGAAAGAAAACAATGCTTCTATTGTTTGTTGCACAATATCATCGGGAACTCTTTGTTCGAAAAAGTATGGATAGTTGCGGTAGTATTGATTTTAATATCACTGCTCATGTTACTGTTGAAGGAGAACGAGAAGGCAAACGATAGGGTTCACTTGAGGTTCACGTAGTGGACTTCGCATTACGACAAAGCCATTACTTGGTACGCATTTCTGTTTCGAGGTCGAAACATTTTGCGGAGATTATAGCGTACAATTAGGGAGAAGGAACGACATTTTGCTCTTGCCACAAAGTAAAAATAGAGATAAAGTGGATTGAACAATGATCAAAATATTGCTCAGACACCACTTCAAAAACACAGACAAGGAACTTTGGCGCATTACAAGCTTTGCGCATTTTGTTAGAACCAGTCCTATGGAGTGACATTGATTAACCCACAGAACACATATATTAACATTCGCATATTTTTGGCAGGCAAAGATCAACAATTCTCTATAAATTTATAAATCATAATGCTGCACAAAACCAAATAATGTATTATATGACAACTAGACAAAACTGCAAATTCCTCTACGATGGGGATGTGATAAAGTTCTTAACATCCTTCTCAAGCAACTAGGCACTTTACGTTGCATGCGTCCGAAACATTTATCGGTTTTTGTAGTACTAAGATCGTAACCTTCAAAAAGACGACACAAAAGTAGTGAACTTTACTCCAAAGTAATCAATCACTAATGCATTTTATTGCAGCAGGTGTAGTCGTGAAGCAGGTTAATCAAGAATTTAATCTAATTCAATGTTTTGATCTGTAGAATTTGAATTAGAATGCACATTTACAGAATCCAAACATTAAAAGCTCCTTTCATGTGGTTTTTTTCACAATTTCAGACGATTTTGTAGTTTTTAAAATTTGTCCATATTCGTATATAATGAGAATTGAAATATACGATGTAGAAATAAAGAAAAACAATCAAGAAACTGTGGTGACCACAAATTTTATTTAGTTTAGAGTTAAAATAGACACTTGCTTTTTTATTAACCCTTTTAGCATCCCCAAGATATCGAGCTTTAAAGCAAGACGTTTAAAAGTTTTATAAAATTTAGGTGTGAATCCATTTGTTGATTCCATGTCCTTATATATCACAAGGCTCAATCTGTAGACGATATGACTATTGAAGTAGTGCTGTAATATCAAGTTCTATAATAGCAATGAACGGCGATTTAGGTAGGGTATTAAGCGAAAACCGACGAAAATGGACCTGCCCGCCATTGTTTGCGAGTGAGTAGATGAGTCACGCGGAATGCAACCGGTTTGAAGATCCGGGCTATTCAAATGTGAAAAAATAGATCATACTTGAAAAGTGCACGTTTTTCTTCTTTACGAAAATTACCTCCAATATGAATGATCGTTCATTCACCTCTCATTATCAATCGATGCATCAAAAAACCGCAGTGATCAGCTGCAGTCGAAATTATCTTGCATCGTTTTAATGAATGATTTACAATTTGAAAAGCATAAATTCCAAAAGAAATTTATTTATGCAGATATTATGATCAAGAATGAAAACTACTTTTTTCTAAATAGATAGCTGTACTAGCGGCCTAACGCCTAGAAGTAATGACCTACGATCTGTAGAAGCAGAATTTTGCCAGCTTTCTTTTGAAATTGAATTGGCAGTAGAGAATAGATATTGGCACCAAGTGACATGCTTAAATAATGATATGGTTGTCCTATCCACGTTATACTCAAAGTTAACAGAGGAAACACTAATCACTGCAAATAGAGCAGAAAGGTTATCGAAGATTATTACTATAAAGAGCCAAAAAGAACTATATTATAAACTAAGCATAAAATGGAAAATGGAACTCAGCTGAATTTCTTACTAAGAAACTCAAAATTCAAAAAAAAACTCCAATACAGAAAATGATAAACGCATAGAGCGAAACGATTTACCCATATGAAACAGGGTTAAAAATGGTGTAGGTAATTTTAAACAATCTTTCCATGCCTTTATTGATTTAGAATATAGAACTCTGCTATTTTTTCCCGTTTGAAGATCAAACATCAACTTTATGAAATTCAACAAGCCAGTCTACGCTGGGACGATTCCAGCCATATTAAAGTTCGGAAAGTGTGTGAAAGCTTTAAATATAATCTGATGGGTTTAAGAGATCTAAGTATTTAGAATGTGAGTGTGATTTCCAAAACTGGATTTCACTCTAGGACCTAAAATTTAAAAATCTAAAGATTTCTAACCTTGTGTAATTGTATACAGTGAAAAATTTCTATCCTGGAAAATCCTCTAGAAATTTTGTTCTCTAATCTGGCTTTGAGCCAGAAGGATCTTAGGATGTAATGAGGCGAGACTCAAATGAGATACCGCAAATTTGAAAGAGCTATGATGTCCTTGGACGAGGAACACATAAGATTTAAAACGAACATCATTTTAATTATTTGCATTTAACAATTAAATCATCAAAACGCTGACGATATGGTCTATGACAAAACATACGTGCTCACTAGAACGCATTCAGAAGTACTTTCAATCACTCCTCCCTGACTTTGGTTGAAGTCCTAATTTGATGAACTAACTAATCGTATCACGTTTCAAGAATCTGGAGCAAAATGGAAAAGCAGTTGTCATCAGTGTGTTTATATCGGTAATCACATACTGTAGCATATATTCAAACTAGAATTTTATAAAACTGATTTTGTGCGCTACATAGATCCTAATGCGTTGGTAATGCACCAATATCATACATTGACACAATACTTATTTACTTGCTCGTACTATATTTAATTAATTCAAAATGGTTATCCAGTTCCTCCTACGATCAACTTGGCTTCTTGAATCTTATCTTGTTCATTTTGAAGTATCTGGATATTTAAAGGCCAAGTTCACGCTATTACGTCCGCTTCGTGCGCAGGCTCATTTGCCTAGGAGCTGTAAGCCGTTTGGACTAAACTAGTGTGTTCTTCCTCAATTTCTTTCTTGTTTTTTTTTCTATATTATTTCAGGTGTTACGAACAGAAGAGTGAGATGAGGGTCCCTACTTCACCGTCAATTATTCATTTAAAGCTTTCTTTCCCACAATTAAGCAGCTACCCAATAAATGTTTGAGATGACTAGCACTAGTCCTGTCCCAACCCAATACATCAATAATTTATTGCATGAATTTAGATGTACGTGCATATGTAAACATCGTGAATTTGAGCAAACTTTTG